ACAGAACTAACCTAAATATACGTTTGTGTTAAGAATGGAAAATTTAACATTGACACATACACACAATGGAATAATACCCATTATTAACGAGTAACAATGAAACCGTGAAGCATCTCATGACTTAGATGGACTTAGAGGACTTTATGCTGAATGAAGATAGTCAAAAACAAAAAGACAAATATTATATGAGATCACTGTATAAAACAGGGAGCCAGGGAGAATGCTTACTCGTTTCTTAGATTACAACCAATGTCACAGAACAATTTGAATATGAGCTATTGACAGGTAAATTTATTTGCTATGTAAACTTTCACCTAAAGCACAACAAAATGCTTTTGTTTTCAAAGAATGAAGTTCTAATACATGCTATAATATAAATGAACCTTGGATGTACTATGCTAAGTGAAATACGCCAGACACAAAAGGACAAATATTATATCATTCCACTTACGTGGCATGTCTAGAATAGGCAGACTTTAGAATAGATGCTACCAGCAGCTGGGTTAGGGGGAAATTTGAAATGGGTATAGTACAGTTGCTGTTTGGGGCAATAAAACAAATATAGAAATAAATAGTTCTAAGAGCCACAACAGCATTATCAATATACTTAATGTCATACATTATACACTCAAAAATAGTTAAAATAGTAACTATTTTGATATACGTATTTCAGAACAATAAAAAATATGGAACTCTGACTAAAGCATAGACATTGGTTAAAAAAATTAAATCGGGGAGGGGGGAGGGGGGAGAAAAGGGGAAAAAGGAGGAGTCGATATTAAGGGCTCAAGTAGAAGGCAAATGGTTTGAGAATGATGAGGGCAACATACGTACGTATGTGCTTGACACAATGGATGGATGTATGGATTGTGATAAGAATTATACGAGCCCCCAATAAAATGATTTTTTTAAATTAATTCGAAACACAAAGGGCAGAACAGAAACTTTAGAAAATCCTATCTATCAGTCAAAAGGAAGATAAGCCTCTGTAAAATCACACAGATTGCAGGGAATGGGGGGTGGGGGGAGGAAGAATCAAGAAACAAAAAAGTTCAGGGAAAATATGACAAAGAGGAGGGAAATGGAGCACTAATGAACAGATAGGGAGCCCTGGTGTGCTGCTGGTTTAAAGCATTTGACTGCTAACCTCAAGATAAGTGGTTCAACCCCAATAGCGTGATAAAAAGATAATCCTGTTGGCTCCTGTAAAGTCTTACAAAAAACCTATATAGAGTCAAGCATGCAATCAAGACACATTAATATTGGCGATGGGAATGTGAAACTTAGAAACAAAGAAGGAACAGTAGTTGGAAAATATGTTGATGATTATAAAAATGAAGCTGGAGATTGCATTATAGAAGTTGGCAAAAAAAAAAAGAAGTTGGCAAGACCAGAGACTTCTTCATCACAAATACCGTTTTTTATCAACCCAAAACGCAACGTGGACTTACATATACAGACGGAATACACAGACATAAAACTGACTACATCCTACATCTGTAGGAAGAGATGATAGAGAAACTCGTTAGCAACAGGTAAAATGAGGCCAACAGCCAGCTGTGGAACAGACCATCAACTGTTGTTATGTAAGTTCAGGTTAAAGTTAAAGAAAATTAAAATAAGTCCACAAGAGTCAAAACACACTCTAGAGTATATTCCACCTGATTCTCGAGAACACCCCAAAAACAGACTGGACACCGACAGCAGCAAGGCTGACAAGCTGTGAAATGACATCAAGAACATCTGTTTTACTTTGTTACTGTTTTTAGGGTTTTTGTGTACGCAATCCGGGATAGGTAAATCTACAGAGCAGTAACCGAATTAATAGTTAATACCCTTGGAGGTATGCCAGGGAGGTTGGGGGAATTGGGAAGCTAATAATGAGTACAAGAACAGAGAACATGTTCTAAAATTAGCAGTGGCACAAGAAACACAGTCTCATCTACCCTGTGCCCATGACTGCGCCAAGCATTCTGATTAATTAGGGCCACAACTGATGGATTTGGATAGAATGGGAGAAAAATGTGGAACAGAACACAACTTCTTTAAAAAGTCCAGACTTACTGACCAGTTAAGACTAGAGGACTCCCTGAGACTCTCTTGAAACTTTAAACCAAAATTATCCCTTGAGGTCACCTTTTAGCTAATTAACATATTGGTTCTTAAAATAAGGAATATCCCTGGTGAGTAATGAGCTCCTTTTAAAAAGTCATCAATATGAAACCAAACGATTAAAAAAAAAACACTTAAATAAAAGTAAGAAGGTAAGGGCTATTAAAAATTGGACAACCAGATTGGAATGAATACGAGTGATGACACATTGTGCGAAAAAATGTAACTAATATCATTGAATAATTTATGTGGATTGTTGAATGGGAGCATAACTGGCTAGTATGCTAGTAAATTTTCACCTTGCACACAATGAGTTTTTCGTTCTTTTTTTAATGTGCCGTCATACTAAAAAAAAAAGATACTACGTCTTAGGAGCCAAGGGAGGAAACCATTACCAGGTTCAAAGAATGTGAAATAATATTCAACTTCCACAGAGAAGCAAAAAAGCACAACTGTGATCAGGCCTTCGAGCTTTGTCATAGTTGTCAGTTCAACGGGCCATGTTCAGGCTAAGGTCAAAGCCATAGGGGGAGAGTTAGCATCCTCTGCGCAGGAATGGGAGACGCAGCAATAGTAAATGCAGACTATTCTTTCCAGTATAAATAACCCTGCAAGTAAGAAAACAGCTTCACTGTTGCTTCTTCCTGTTAAACCAACAGGAATGGATAGAAGGGAAAGAGAGCATTAGAGAAAGTTATTTGTTGGAAAATTACTGAGGGGAAAAGTCATAATGCCCCTTGTAGGGGTCAACACTTATTAAATAGCACATCTGAGATGTGTGAGTTGCCACAGGACTCCATGGCCCCTGGCTACCACTGCCAAGTGCTCTGACAGGGATCACAGTGAAGTCTGGAGAATGTGGAAGAAAATATGGAATAAAACTTAAAATTTAAACTTTCTAAAGTCCAGGCGTACTGGTCTCATGGAGTCCTTCTGGCCTGGAAGTGAACTCAGCCATGGCTCAACTTTCAGGCAAACACAGCTAGATCTGTAACAGTAACACGAGGGAGGCACGCATGCTTTAGAACCATCAGCCCTATGAGCTCAAAAGGGCAACTGTCAAGTACCAAGCTCAGAAAGCAGAGAGGGGCAAGAAAGGAGGGCAAATGGAAACAGGAAGCACAGGAAAGAAGTGGGGAGTGCGCTGTTATACTGTGGGATTGCAATCAATGTCACAAAACAAGAAGTGTAACAATTGTTGAAAGGAAAATCAATTTGCTCTATAAACTTTTACCAAAGCGTAATTAGAACATTTTAAAAGGTATACAATTCCTTAAACATAAAATATAGTTCAAAAAGATAACAAACCAATACTGAATTCCAGTTATTTTCATGAGTGTTTACTAGCTACCATTAAGTCAGTTAAAGTGGATTATAACCGCAAGGTCAGCAGTTCACAGCCCCCAACCTCTCCAAGGGAGAAAGAAGAGGCTTTCTGCTCCTGTAAAGATGTTCAATCTCAGAAACCCCAGGGAACAGTTCTACTCTGTCCTGGATTAGCTAGAGTCTACTGAATGGCAGTGGCTTTGGGGGCCGATCAAGTCAATTCAGACTCAGGGTAACTGTGTAAGACAGAATGGCCCATGAGGTCTGCCCGGCAGGAATATTGACAGAAGCCGAATGCCATGTCTTCCCTCCAAAATTGCCAGCTAGATTCAAATTGTCAACCTTTCAAGTAAGTTATCTTAACCTCTGTTCCACCAGGGCTCCTTGTTAGACTATTTCAGAATAAAAGATTCTCAGGCACTTTGAAATCCATCAAAAAATGAAGACAAGTATCCTTCATAGGCCACACCAGAGGGAACTGATTTGGAAACCCCACTAAGTGAACTGGACTTTACACCTTTAAACACACCTGTTGCAGATTAAAGGAACTGCAATATTCCCACACAAATAGAGATCTGAATATCCCAGGGTTGACTGTAGCACTTTTCACGACAGTTAAAAGGCGAAGACAATTTAAATGTCCATTGACAGACAACTGCAAAACTCACTGCCACTGAGTCAATGCTGCCTGATAGCAACCCCCTGTGGGTTTCTGAGACTGTTTACAAGAGTAGAAAGCCCAGTCTCTCTCCCATGGAGCTGCTGGTGGTTTCGAACAGCAGACCATGCAGATCACAGCCCAGTGCATAACCACTACACTATCAGGGCTCCTGAACTGGTAACTAGGATCAACAAAATGTGGTATTATACATGGGTGGGGGCGCTTCAAAAAGTTCATGAAAGAATCCCATTTTTCCACGAACTTTCTGAAATCACCTTGTACACGTAATGGAATATCACTCAGCCATAGAGATAAAGCCCTAACACATGCCACAATGTGAATGAACCCTGAAACATTTAACTGTGCTAAATAATTCAGTTGTAAACAGACATATGCTAGGATGATGTTATTTAGATGAAATAAATATATAGAAAGCAAACCCTGTCACTGCTTACCATGCGTAGGAGGGGAGTTTCTGCTTAGGGTGGCAAGGAGTTATGCTAAAGACGGTAAAATAAAGCAGAAAAGGAGAGCGACAAGGGTTGCGCAATAAGGAAAAATGCAATCAAAGTCTTAGGGAGAAGTTTCCAAGCTGGAAATGTTCTGAAATTAATTACGATGGATCGATGTGCAGATAAGGGATGGGTAGGTGAGCCATTAGGTCCTAAAGCAAATGTAACGAATGTTCACGGTCGAGTCGAGATGGGTATTCACGGTATAATTCTTCCAACTCTTCTGTGCATCGGGAAATTTTCACAATAAAATATATTTTAAAGTATCGCCATCCAAGTTATTTCCTTCCAACCTACCTCATTGAGTGAACCCTGAGATAACTGCTGCTTACTCAAAAGGCCGGTGTTCCGTAAGAGGTGTACTGGGCCAAGAACACAGCTGCACTCACCTACAGACTGAGAGTTGAACACAGCTATAATCTGGGGGCTGGCCAGGGCCTCCAGCCTGTTCTTCAATGCCTCCAAGTGCACACATTTTTCTGAGTAGTCTGGTGTGTCGACAAGCATCATCAAACTGTTCTGCATCCCCGTGAGCTTGGCGGAAATCACAGCGATGTCCTATAAAAAGCCCAGAATACAAGATACTTGTTTTAAACGCCATGCTCCCTGACTCAAGTATGAATGAAACACATGGCAAGACAACCCATAAAATGAAAGATGACCTGTAAATGTGTTCAACATTATTAGTACTCAAATAAATGCCTATCAAAACCAGAAAGTACCATTTACACTTAACAAAAGTGATAAACCTTTTTAAAAATTAAAATAACTACTGTGGGTGAGGTGACAAGAACAAAGAAACCTGTCTGGCCATAAATTCATACTGTTTTTCTGCAGGGCAATTTAGCAATACAGGTCAAGCGCCTTAAACATATTCAAATCCTGATCGACATATAACCCCCTCCCCGGGGGAGAGACAACAGAAAAGTGGGTGAAGGGAGACATCGATGAGACATCGATGGAAAGATGCTATTACAACTTAAGTATGGCTCAATCTAAATCACAATAAAAAGAAAAAAAAAGTTTCAAGTATGACTCAAATGTCACAGGACACAGGCAAAAGAACAATTCCTTTTGCTGAGGAGGAGCAGGGAGCTAGCAGGGAAACCTGTGAAAGGGGATGACACTTAACCTGAACACTCAAGGATGATTAACAGTCTACTCTTCTACAAAAAGCCATATATATATATATATTCATATATATATGTGAATATATATATGAATGTATGAATGTGAAAAGAATATATATGAAAAGAATGAGGATTCCAGATATATATATATATTATATATTTATATGAAAAGAATGAGGATTCCAGATATTTTATAGATATATATATAGATATAGATATATATGAAAAGAATGAGGATTCCAGAATACTTCACTGTGCTTCTGTGGAACTTGTACATGGATACAAGCGGCAGTTGTGGGAATGGAAGAAAGGAATATTGCATGGTTTAAAATCAAGAAAGGTGTATTGTATCCTCTCACCATACTTGTTCAATCTGTATGCTGAACAAATAATCAGAGAAGCTGCCTCATAAGGATAAGGATGTGGTATCAGGATTGAAGGAAGGCTTATTAATAAACAATGATATGCAGATGACACAACCTTGCTTGCAGAAAGTGAGGAGGACTTGAAGCACTTGTTGATGAACATCAAAGTTTGCAGCCTTCAGTAAGGATTACAAGTCAATGCAAAGACCAAAATCCACACAACTGGACCGATTGGTAACATCATGATAAATGGAGAAAAGGTTGACATTGTCAAGGATTTTGTCTTGTGTGGATCCATAATCAATGCTCACGGAAGCAGCAGTCAAGAGCAGTCAGCAGTCAGGACACTTTTGGTAAATCTACACAAGACCTCTTAAGAGTGTTGAAAAGTATGTTGCTTTAAGGATTAAGGTGCTTGAACCTAGCCATGGTATTTTCCATTACCTCATAAGCATGTGAGAGTTGGATATTGAATAAAGAAGACGAAGAAGAACCAATGCATTTGAATTGTGGTGCTGGAGAAGAATATTGAAAGTACCACGGACTGCTAAAAGGACAAAGAAATCTGTCTTGGATGAAGTATGGCCAGAATGCTCCTTAGAGGCAAAGATAGCGTCGTCTTACATACTTTGGATATGTTGTCAGAAGACCCCAGTCCCTGGAGAAGGACATCATGTTTGGTAGAGTAGAGAAGCAGGGAAAAAGAGGAAGACCTCCAGGATCGACATCATGGCTGCCACAATGGGCTCAAGCACAGAAACAATTGTAAGGATGGCACAGGCCTGGGCAGTTTTTCATTCTGTTGTGCATGAGGTCGTTATGGGTTGGTACCAACACAATAGCACCCAACAACTATTTTCCACACTTTGCAGATCCAGAGGAGTTAAGTAACTTTCCAAGACCACATGGTGTGTAAGGCCCCTCTGCCCAAGTTTTCATTTACCCCATTTTGTCTGCCGGGGCACTTCTATCAAGGCTCCTCTGAACTCCTTCACAAGGACAGACTTCAGTCAGGCACAGGGTAAATGAAATGCTAAGAGCAATTTCAGACCCTCCCGCCCTAAACGTGAATGTTTCTGTGCACCACTATTTATACTGTCCCTTAGGTTTTGAATGAAAAACTATCTCATTTGCTTTGTCCAAACCCCAAGTTCCTGCTGATATAAATTTCACAACAACCCCAAATCAAGAAACCTACTTGAGTCTTAAAGGTCTCTTCAATATCAGCACTTAACGTGCTCCACTTGTCTGCTTCCTGAAGAGATTCTGCAGCAAGCTGCATTCTGGACTTCACCTGGTCGATTTCTACCAATACCTGAAAGAGAAAGGAGGAGTCAACCCCTAAGGACGTGACAGTTCCTTTGTGCTATCTTCCACCAGTCACGGGACATCCCAGCACGCTCTTGTCTTCGGGAAGTGTCAGCGCCCCTTACAACACTCATCACACAGGTAAATCTGACCAGCCAATACCAAACAAATATTTCAATTGAAGATAATGAAAGAATTTACAGTGACCATCTCTTTCTTATAATAAATTTTTTTTAAATGAGCTGATACCAAGGGCTCAAGTAGAAAGAAAATGTTTTGAAAATGATGACAACATATGTACAAATGTGCTTGACACAATGGATGGAT